GGCGAGGGGCGGAGCGGGCAGCCGGGGGTAGGTTGGCGGGGCGGCCGCCCGCCGCACCATCGGCAGCGGCGCCGGGAGAGCAGCATGGCCCCGCCGGACCCGGAGGGCGACCGAGGTGAGGCGAGGGGACACACACACACACACACACACACACGACAAGACGCCGGTTGGCGGGTGCGGGGCCCGGTCTCTGCGGGGGTGGCTCCGGCGGTGAGGCGGAGGGAGGTCGCCCGCCCCCCTCACCACTGAGGAGTCCGGTCTCTCTGTCCCCTCTGCAGGTGCCACCGACTCCATGGCCCCCGGGAAGAAGATCACGGCCCGCATCAAGAGGACGCTGCCGGTGAAGGGCCCGCAGGCGCCCACGCTGAGCGAGCTGATGCGCTGGTACTGCCTCAACACCAACACCCACGGCTGCCGCCGCATCGTGGTCTCCCGCGGCCGCCTGCGCCGCTTCATCTGGATCCTGCTGACCCTCAGCGCCGTGGGGCTCATCCTCTGGCAGTGCGCCGAGCTCCTCATGAACTACTACAGCGCCTCCGTCTCTGTCACCGTCCAGTTCCAGAAGCTGCCCTTCCCCGCTGTCACCATCTGCAACATCAACCCCTACAAGTAAGGCCCGGGGCGCTGGCAGGGGGGACAGGGTGGTCTCCTGGCAAGCTCATCACCCCCCTCGCTAGCCCAGCGCTAAATCCCTTCCTAGGGCTGGTCCTGCTCAGCAGCAGTCTTTCCCAACCAGGGCTTTTCCCTCTACGCCACTTTGAGTACCGTATCCACCTCAGTGCTGATGCTCTTTAGCACATGGGGATTATAATCACACCCTCCACTTGCTGCCTGCTGAGCTAGACTCGGTCGGTTTAGTTTCTGGTTGGCTCCATGGTTCTTTTCAAATCCCCTTTTTCCAAAGACCAAAGTTCCAGGGTTATAAATAAGACCGTCTCCTGAAGAATAGACGGGGAATATCTGTTACTCCTCTGTGACCCCTTTCTTTTCTTATAGGATGCTCTGATGTTATCAATCATCAATACTTTTTCTCCTGCCAAATTATACTTTACGTTGATGTCTGTTCTGCTGCCAGCTACTCACCCCGGTCCCTGCAGGCGATCCAGCTCTCCTGTGTCTCTTGGCACAGGTGCAGAAGTTGTATTTCCACATGCTCTGCCTCCTTGGGCCTGCTAACGCAACCTTCAAGGAGCTTGGGAGTCTGTGAAGGCTTTCTCTGTAGTTTGGACTGCTTTGCTTCTGATGCTCAGAGATCTCCCCAAGGGTATCGCTGCGTCTGCCCACTCTGATGTAACCTGGTGTGGTAGTAAGAGGGATCGATGTGAGGCCACAGACATGCTCTGCCTCCTTGGGCCTGCTAACGCAACCTTCAAGGAGCTTGGGAGTCTGTGAAGGCTTTCTCTGTAGTTTGGACTGCTTTGCTTCTGATGCTCGGAGATCTCTCCGAGGGTATCGCTGCATCTGCCCACTCCGATGTGACCTGCTGTGGTAGTAAGAGGGATCAGTGTGAGGCCACAACAAAGAATTTTGTCCTGAGCGATGAGATTCGTGGTGCAGTGGTCAATACACTGCAGCCAGGCGGTGAGGTGAGATGGGATGTCACCTACTATCACATTGTCTCCAATACAGGTACAGTTCCATGAAAGACTATTTATCTGAATTGGACAAAGAGACCAAAAAGGCTTTGGAGACTTTCTACGGATTTTCAGAGGGCAAGTCCAAAGTGCGCCGGTCGGTGGATGAGGGGAACAGCACAGGGAGTGAATTCTTCAAACAGATCCCTCTGCTGAAGTTTGAGGACTTCTCAAAGACAGCAACTGACCTTCGCAGTGGCCAGAAGAGGAAAATAGAGGGCAGTGTCTTTCACAAGGATTCGTCCATAGTGAACTCCGGGGATTCAAATGATATCATTGGCTTTCAGCTGGTGAGTGTCACTCTTCCTTGGCAGTGAGTTCCTTGTTGGGGCAGCGAAGGGGTGTTTTGGGTTGGTATCCCTCCGGCCAGTTTTATTGCCTGCTTAGGTGGCTTTATAGCAAATAACGCTCCCTCCGGTCTTTTGCCTATTCTGACGTGCCTCCATGGCTGCCTGCAGATTCATCTCCAGCTCTCTGGTAGAGCAGCACCTTCCTGAAGTCTACTCAGATAGACTTGGTGCCATCTGTGACCTTTCCTTTGGGCCTGAAACATTTGATCATATCACTTAGCCCTGAATGAAAGGTCTTTGATGCCCCTTTGTCCCATTGCTGCTGCTCTAATTTCATACGTGGTTATTACTGGGGGGAAAAAAATGGTATCACATACCTTGAAGAATACATATTTCATTTCATCTGAAATGCTTTTTCCCCTTTGTAATTGTCAGTGCGATGCAAACAACAGCAGTGAGTGTGCACTTTATACATTCAGTTCTGGTGTTAATGCTATCCAAGAATGGTACAAGCTGCATTACATGAACATCATGGCACAAATTCCCCTGGAGACTAAAGAGAAATTGAGTTATTCTGCTGATGACCTTCTACTGACATGTTTCTTTGATGGCCTATCTTGTGACAAAAGGTCAGTGCACAGAAAATACCTGCCAGCTTAACGGCTTATTTCCAAGTACATAATACATAGGAGTTGAATATTTGGTATTTGCTGAATTCCAGCAGGAATCATTTCCATTTTTAAATTTAAGCAAACATTTGCATCTTCATGAACTTTAATTTAATTTGTCTTAGTGTTCTGCTGTCCACATTGCAGATAAACCCATGTTTTTTGGCAAAATCAAATCTACCTGCTTATGATTGTGGCAGTGCAATTCTTGCGTGTCCTGGTAGCAGGACAGTCGTCCCTTCCTTCTGTGCAGCTGTGGGGATAAGATTGCCCTTGTACACAGGTTTAGCAATTTCCCCACTGCTGTGCACAAATCAAGCTGCACCATAACTCTGAATTTAGTGGATATCGCTGAATTGTTTTTCGCTTGTGCCCATAATCCTGCAAATGCAGAAATAACATCTTTTCTTGGAATGGAGACGTTTGCTCGAGTGGGAGGAGATGTTCACGGGAAAGACATGAATGGGCTTGAATCACGAGGGTGTGTCCTCAGCCTCCCCTGCATGACAGTGGCTATGACATCTTTTCTGAAAAATGAAGATTTGTGTTCCTTTAGACACTTGGCTGTCGAATGAAAGAGGACTGTCCCCTCCGCTGCCACCTCCCTGCTGCTTCTGTAAAGCCCCCTTCCCCACCCCCTCGGCCCCCAGTCCCACACGAAAACCTCCTGAACTTCTCATTTCCTGATGCTATTAAACCAGACCACATTTCCATGTAGTTTCAAGATCTTAAGAATAAGACCCACATAAGAACAAAACCCCATCCAGACTTGCCGTGTTTCTGCCAAAACAAAAAGCCTGAATTTGCTGATTTTTTTCTCTCACGGTCAATTAAAACTGCAGAGGGCAACGTTAACGATAATTTTCTTTCTTTCAGGCACTTCACTCGTTTCCATCATCCCCTGCACGGCAATTGCTATACCTTCAACAGTGGGGAGAACGGGACGATCCTGAGCACCTCGACCGGAGGCAGCGAGTACGGTGAGGAACCCGAGTTTGCAGAGGAACTATTAGATAACAAGCGGTTCAGCGAACTGGATCCTACTGGAGAGTGATTGATGTGTTGGCTCTAGATGTGCGAGCTGATTGGGGAAATGCTTGTTTGAACTGGTGCAAACTATTGCCAGAGAATACAAAGATAATATCATTGCATCACTAATGTTTTCCATCTGAAATTACTGCTTCCCAGTTATATAACTTTTTTTAAGTAAGTTTCAGCCACGTTCTGCAGAGACGTGGTTTGTTTGCTGTACTCGGGGCTGTGGAGGGATGCTGTTTGCTGCGAGTGTCTCAGTCTAGCACCACAAAGGCTTTGCTTGGTTGTTACAGCTCTACTTAAGGCCAGATAATATTAAGTAAACTGTGCTGCCCTTCCTGACCAGAAAAAAATAGCTCTGGCTTCTGGTGTAACCCTGCCTTGTCTCCGTTCCTCAGGGTTGCAGGTTGTTCTGTATATTGATGAAGCAGACTACAACCCTTTCCTGGTG